TGTGAGGAGATTCTTTCTCTAATCTCTAAATATTTGTGTCAAGCAGGCTTTATCCCGTTCACTAATAAGATCCTTTTGATGGGCTAGAGAGATGCCTCCATGGTTAAGAGGCTGGCTGTTCTTATGGAAGACCTAGGTTCAATTCTCAGCACTCACGTGTAGGCACACAGCTTCCTGTAACTCCAGTTTCAGGAAATCTGACATCCTAACAGACATACATGCAGGCAAAACACCAATGAACATATAAACAGACAAACAAATGACACTTTTGACAATTATGTTTTTTTTGTGATACATTCTTGCTACTGTAGCATAGGTATGGGTCCTGGGATTCCCGACAGGCACCACTACATCCAACTTCCTGGTCAGCTTTCTTATCTAGTACCTGGTTCCTTTGAATTCTATACCCCACAGACAATAGATATGGAAAACCTTCAGGCTTTAAATAATACTAAAAAGAAAGCATATATTTGCTAGTGTTTGTAGACATCTGAATTTCAGTGAGGTCGTTCTAGGTAATTTATTTGAAAATTCTACTGGAAATTGGATTTCTAAAAGGAAATGGGGGTCCTGGAGCTCTGTTTGCTTGGTCATAAGGTCCTGTGGACTGTTGTGTAGAGTTCTTAAGTTCCTAGTTGAGGTGGAACCCTTCTTGATGGATAGCCAGGACTAAGTGCCCCTGCTTCAACCTTGTCTCCAAAGTTACTTAACTCAGCTCCAGCTTGGCTGAGCTCTTTTGTCAACGTATGTGATTCTTCATGGTTTACTTTCCTCTGTAGCATCAATGCTCCGTGGTTATGAACTGCTGAGTCTCTCCCTAGTAGAGATTTCCCATTTTTAAGAGTCAATTTATAAGTCCTGCCTGCTTTGTTGGTGATGGAGTCTCAATAGCAGTTAAAGATAAGGTATGGATATACACAAGATGTTAATGAGATCTTCCTTCAAGGGAAAGATATGCCTTGTTTCAGAAATTGGAGCACTTGATGGAACTAAGAGCTAGAGTGACAGATAACTTATGTGACTTGAAGTCTTTTCCAATTTGCTTATCTGCTGAGTTGAAACGGCAGAGGATGTCATCATGTAAGCATGGTGACTAGAAGGCAGTATCTTCTTGGTCCTAGGAAAGTTACAATTATGTAAGAGTACCAGGGACAGCATGAAAAGTACTTTACAAGCTCCAGCTAAGACACCAGTGTTGTAATTGCTGTCTCTTGAACCTTTTAGGGAATACTAGGGAGTTCCTCTGGGTTACCAAATTAGATTGCTAAGCTGTCCATTATAGAATTTATTTGACAGTTAAACTGTGTAAGGTCAGCTAAACCAATTGAAAATTTTCTTGCTCCAGCATATTTTGATGGGTGACAGAGCACAATAGTGTTGTTTCAGATAATATTAACGTATCGTGAAAACAAATCAGTTTTCGGTAGTGCCCAAAGTGAATGGTTAGCTTCAGGTTAATGCTGACATGCAGAAAAGTCAAGCTTCATTTGGGCTTAGCTGAGACAAATTATTGTAACCCTGGAGAAGAAAACAAGAGGCAGCAAGTGAAACAGATGGGATAAAAGACTAAGATCTAAGCAATAATAATGTCAATCACAGTAATTGGGTTACTTTTGAGTGCTTTCATTTGACATAGTAAAAAAAATTCTACTCTGTGTCTCAGATTTTTAAAAGAAGAAATTCTAAAGGCTGAGTTATCCCACAAAGCTGAATTGCTATTGAATTCCTAGTAATTTGAGTTGTATAGAAAGTGATACCTCCAAATAATTCTCATCTCAGATAACCATTCACATCCCCTCTTTGTTTAAAACAAAACAAAAATAACAAAAACATCAACAAAACCAGCCTTATTGTGCAACTCATCCAAGATGTGGATTTCACAGATTTTTAAAAATTGGATATTTGTTGAACTGAGCAATAGTTACCATAACTTAATTTTAAGCATTTTTATTCCTTTATTGCTTTGGTAGATAGAACCATGCCCGGTTTATTCCACACCACCTTGTGAAATAAAGAGAATTTGTTTTCTGCTGTAAAATAAATATTTATTGGCTGGGTTTCCTATCTTATGAATTGTTTTCCCTGGTATACATACAATTTGTTTCTAAGAGATCCTGTAGAAATGCCTGGAAAATAGAAAAGGTGTTTTGGATGAAGAAAGGTCAATTACTAAAGTGAACCAAAGTAAATTACATTCAAACATTAGAAAGTATTTGTTTATTGACTTTCAGAGCAAGATATTTATTATTTATTATTTTTCAGTGCTGAGGATCAAGTGCAGGGCTCTGTGCATTATTGTGTTAGGCAAGCCATCACTACTGAGCTGCATCCCCAAGTCCTTATGGAAAATTGGGATGGCTACTTTAATTCTCTCAACTCCAAATTCTTGGCTGCTTGCTTGCTATTGTCACTCTTACTTATTTATTTGTTTGTTTGTTTATTTTGAGACAAGGTTTTGCCGTGAACCCCTGGCTGTCCTGGAACTCGTTTTATAGATCAGATTGGCTTTGACCTGCTATTAAAATTCTTACATTCCCATAGAAGAAGGACTGTTTTTTCACTGTAGACATTTGGCAAGGGAGAATTTCGTTACTGTTTTTGGTTCCCCATCACTGATGATCTGGTTTCTGTGGCTTTCAAGGGATAGGTAGAACACTCAGGATATAGCAGCCAATAACTGCATGGAGCTTGAAAGTTCACTGTTTCCAGAGTAACTCCCTGGAGATACCATGGCAGTGTATTAGATAGGAAGGTGCTACTAGCACTGTGCATGCTCTCTGTAGAGAGGGTTAATGTGTGGGTCAGATGGATATTTATTGATTTTCTTCAACATAGAATTGATGCTGTGGATGAGTTTAATCCATTTTTATGACAGAGTCAAAAATTTGTATTGTTTCATTAAAATACACAACATTCTGCTCAAGGGTGTGTGTCGAATCAAGATACAGAGAGAGGTCAAACTTGTATTTATGTTAAAACATTCTGATTTAGGATTTTGTAAGTCTTCTAGTTTTTTTCCATTATACATTTTTTTAAATTTAAATTAGAAACATATTTGCTTCACATGTCAATCCTAGCTTCCTCTCCCACCCCTCCTCCCTTGCCCCCCATCCCTCTTCCCATCCCTCCCCACCCAATCCCCATAGTGTTCCCTAGGGAGATACTCCATGGGGGATCTCCAGAATCTGTCATTTCAAGTCTTCTAGTTTTTATGTAAATCCACCTTTCAGAACACCCAAGACCTTTCAGGAATTCAAACTACAGGGAACACAGTGTGTAGCAACAGCCACTTGATGCTTTGAAACAACTTAGTTTGCAAACAACCAACTTTCTTTTTGTTTGGTTTTTACGAGACAGGGTTTCTCTGTATTGTTTTGGAGGCTGTCGGTCCAGCCCGGCCTTGAACTCACAGAGATCCGCCTGCCTCTGCCTCCCGAGTGCTGGGATTAAAGGCATGTGCCACCACCGCCCGGCTCAAACAACCAACTTAATGCTCACTAAATTAATGTTTACATTGCATGGTCTAAATCACCAAGTTGGTGGTTATTGACAATAGTTAGTAGATTTTAACAAATATTCAGAAAATAAAATCCACCTTGGGCAACATCAACAGCAATTTTGCAAACATCTCAATCTGTGTGATGTTTCAAGGGAAATAGTTTTCTTTCGGTTCCCAAGTAGGAATTTTAAGGCGACAGATTTTCATGTTCAGACTGGACTGTAAAATCAGTTCAAATCCCAACCCCTCCAAAGACACTTCTGCAATCTCAGAAGTCCAAGTCCGGGATTCGTTTTCACTTCAAAGAAAACACAGGCGTTCCCAAGCTACTTGCGGGTTAGCATTAATGCTTTGAGACTTAACAAGACTCTAGGGCTTTTCAGTTTCCTCTCTCATGCGTCATATATCTATTCCCAAACCTACTCATAAGCCGCCTGTCTTAGCTTTCTTATCTTGAAGTCTCTTTCAAAACTGGGTGGGGTCAGTGATATGAGGACGGAATTTCAAACATGGCAGCATAGTTCCTAGAGTATGGAATTCAAAGGAAGCTATTAATATGAGCTGACATCTCTCAACAACTCTCTTTCCTTTTTGGAGCACATGAAAAGAAATGTAAACATGTCCCTGAGCTTTGGAAAGCTTGGCTCCAGGCATACCCCTACCACCCACCAGGGTGGTGCGCACACTAGAATGGAGCATCCTGGAATTATTTGCCAGTGTGCTCTATCCTCAGTGTAGAGCTTTCTCTGCAAAATTATTCTTTAGCAATTTTCTTTGCAAGCAAAGAATGGGAAATCTGACTACCTTTCATGGAGATAAACTGACCCCTTTCTAGTAACTGTACACGATTATCTCCTTAATTACGCCAAGATTTATAACTACATGCTATTTGTGTATTGTAGCACAAGTAGTGTCCTAAGTAAATGTCTTCAGAATAAGACACATGGTTAATTTTACACAAAACATAAACATGATCGCTAAGAGCATTGCATAAACTGACTACCCGCTTCCAGTTGTCCTTAGAAAACATAGAAGAGCCCAGTAGTGGTGTAGGCCTTTAAACCCAGTACTGTGGAGGCAGAGGCAGTTGGATCTCTGTGAGTTCGAGGCCAGCCTGGTCTACAGAGCTAGTTCCAGCATAGCCAAAGCTACACAGAGAAACCCTGCCTTAAAAAAATGAAGATAAATAACAGTGAGAATCACAGATGGAAGGGATGCAGACACCTGTCTTTATAGGAAGAAGGAAAAAATGATCATATACTCTTGACTCTAGTTATGTAACTGACAATTTATTTCCTTCTAAGGATGTATCAACTTCCCTTATCTCCATGCACTACAGTAACGGTCTCCATTGCTATGAGCGTCACAGCCACAAAACTTGTATGTCATTACAGTAGTTTGTCGTTAAGTAGTTGAGGTTCATGTTTTAAGAGATAAGGAGGTGACTGGAAAATAAGCTTGTATCTCATGGGGAGTTTAAAACTTCTTTTTCTTTTTTTCAAGACAGGGTTTCTTTTTCTCTGGCGTCCTCAAGCTCACAGAGATCTGCCTGCGTCTGCCTCCTGAGTGCCCAGAAACACAGCTCTGGTGTTACTGGTATGTGACACCATGCCCAGCTTTCAAATTCTTTTATATCCTTGCCTCTTTTCATAAACAGGTAAACAGGTGCTCTTATGTGCACACACACAAGTGCTCTCTCTCTCTCTCTCCCCCTCCCTCCCTCCCTCCCTCTCTCTCTCTCTCCCTCTTTCTCTCCCTCTCTCTCTCAGTGGTAATATAGGCATGTAAAACAATGCTTTCTAAGTCCTTTACTATGTTGCACAGGTAAACTGAATTGACCTTACAAAACATAATATCAAACAAATTTTGGCTTCCTTTTATCTTCTATTTTGAAATTTATTTAGGCACTGGTAAGGGTTACACACTGTCTTATTCTAGAGGAAATAGTTTTAAATAATTATCTGCTCCTCTTGGCTATAGGAATTTCAAAATATGCACTGAAATAGGAAATAAAGAATTATTATCACTCATAATTCTTTCTTTTCAGAAAGGAACTGTGAAAAGCTGAAGAATTATTTGTAATCCAACCTTGCCAGGGTAAGACTAGTCTATCTAACCCATCAAAGCTAACCACGAGAAAAATGTATACTGTGGCTTTTAGTCTTTAGTAAATACTGTTGTGCATGCTTTATCATTCGTTTAAATCAGAGTTTAAAATATATCATTGGATACTAACTGTACGATTCAGAACAGAAGGTATTTACATCTCTTTTTTAATTGATACTTTCAAAAACTTCTAAAAATTATTGAAATGCCTTTATTTATTTTTTCCTGCCGTTGACTCATAGGATATGCTAAGGGAAGATGGATCAGCCTCTTCCCTGATTAGAGACCCTGAGCAACGAATGAGTGTGAGGAATTTTGCTTCTCAACAGGAATTATAGCATGATAACAGATATTGCCTTGGACCTGTGAGGTGCGCTATTTAGGAAGACATCCACAAGAAGAAAGCACGTGTGAGTTCCTGTTTCTTTACATTTGGAATAAAAGAACATTGGTAAAAATGGAAGTTTCCTAAGATGTTCATTCCTAAGCATGAGATACAGTACGTAGCAAAACTTAAGACAGTGTGCTTTAGAAAATGAACAAGAGCAGCTTGGCTCTAGGGGGCTTAGACCATGGCTTTGAAGTGCCTTAAGTCTCCCAAATCTCAGAAGACTGTTTATAGCTCCATGCTGCTTGGTACAAACAACGTTGGTGAGAGGTTTTAAAATTTTCTCATTAAATTTTTATAAGAATGTTTGGGTTGGGGAAAGGAAGTGTCCGAGCTGTGGATGATGTCGTATCATTGATTTATCTCAGGAATGGAGAACAGGATGCCTTCTTGGAAAGTTTCTCAGCGACTTGTATACATGAAGCCAATGACAACATGGGAAGTCACGTCAACATTCAACAGGCTCCATAAATGTTTAAACGTGGGTATGAGACATTGATCTAGCATCTTTGTAGTTTTTTCTTTGTCTTTTTTCCATTCAGGGTGTGTGTGTGTGTGTGTGTGTGTGTGTGTGTGTGTGTGTGTGTGTGTGTGTGTACATGTGTGTTAGATAGAGGGAACTCATTAATTCACGTAAGTTTGAACAGATCACTCTTTTTCTTTCTTTTCTTTTCTTTTCTTTTCTTTTTTTTTTTTTGAGACAGGGTTTCTCTGTATTGTTTTGGAGGCTGTCCTGGAACTAGCTATATAGATCAGGTTGGCCTCGAACTCACAGAGATCATTTGCCTCTGCCTCCTGAGTGCTGGGATTAAAGGCATGTGCCACCAACATCTAGCCAGATTACTCTTTAATAAATGTTTTTCTGCAAAGTTTTACTTTGAAAACGATCAGAATTTATTGAGGACAGATCTATCCCAGATTTGTTTGGACACAAAATTTGTATTCTTCTTTGGAACTGCCGATGGGAAGAGAAGAGTTTGCTCAAAGACAAACATTTTCCCATCTCATTGTATAGAGAATGTTTTCTCCCGTGTGCTTGGTGCTCAGCCCACACTGGGATAGGCTCTGTGTGACAGTCAACTTTGATCTTGAGAAAGCCAAGAGTGACTAGAGATGTAGGTTACAGGTACAGAGCTTTCCCAACATCCTAGAAGCTCTGAGCTCTGTCCCCAGTCAGAGACTGAGAGGAGACACAGTTGCCATCTGTCTTAATGCCACTGTCTTTGTTCTACGAGGAACCTGCTGACCATTTATTTGTACTAACTAGAATAATCCAGGAAAATGTGACTTGCTAACCTAAAATTAAAAGTAAATTTTAAAGTTATCTTTTATTAGTAAGAGATTTAGCAGAGGAGAGATTATAAAAACTTGGTACTTGCTTTATTGCTAACATGTGCTTATTTATTATATTATTATTATTATTTGAGACAGGGTCTTACTGTGTAACGTAGGCTGGCTTTTAATTCACAGAGATCCCTCTCCTGAGTGTTGAGATTAAAAATGGTTGCCACCATACTCACTTATTTTTATTATTAATAACGTATACTTGTCATTATAACTGTGTTTACTTATGATAAAGATGTACACATATTTAATATAGTTTAATATATTCTAACTTATGGAAATTGTATTATCTTTCCTCCCCTTTACCTGATTTGGTTATAGGAACTCTTCTATCCCTGCCCCCAAACATTCCTTCTAGAGTCATTATTCAGATTGTTGACACTTTATAGTTCCAATACTTTGTCTTTGTATATAAATAACATCTCTCTATGAAGTAATAACTATATCTTATTATGTTTCTATTGTAGATTTGTTGTATTTTATAATTACAGGGTAATAATTCAAGATTCATTGACATTTGAGACTCCCAGTGTGGAATGATGATGATGATTACTACCAGGTAATTCGGGGAAGGCTATTTTGGTGGGGAAAGATTCCATTTTTGAGGACAGCACTATATTCTGGACAAACCGGAAAGATTTGTGATGCTGCTTGGTGAGGCATGCCAAAATTGATTATTCTCATAATTCTGTTTATTTTCCTCTAGGGATTTGGTATTTCTTGAGTGAATGTGTGTTAAAAAGTCTACCAAAAATATGTTGGGATATGATAATATTTTTGAAAAACAACGTATACTGAATCATTCTCCTGATAGTTGAGAAGAGATACGTTGTAAAGAGATTTCTGTTTGTATTTATAAAAATTTTCACATTGAATCTTTATGAATATAGTTCATTGTGTGGCAAACACTTTTGCACACTGAATCATCTTGCTGGTACTATAGTGAATCTTAGTTCATTTTCTGAGCATAAATTTTTTTTGAGATAAGACCGTACCATGTAGTTGAACATTCCCTTGTAATGTTCCTGCTTCAGCCTGCTAAACACTGGAATTCGAGGTGGGTCCCACAACTCCTGATTCTGAGTACAATTTGTATATCATAGGAAGCTTCATTGAAGTGCATGTCATCCTCTTTTAGTGGTTAGCTCAGGGACACACCCTTTTCTGAGAACTGGAGTCAGTTGGGGGTGGATGGTTATAACTCAGAATCCATTCATGTGTGGTTATCTTGCAAGCACCCCAGAGACCATTACTAGGGAGGCATCTTGTCTGTATATGACATCACTTAGATCACATGCCCAATTTCCCACAGCCTTGGAACCAAACCTGGTTTTAAGAAGCTCTTGTCCCAGAGAGGTCACTGACTTGGGTCACATTTGCTTCTGTGTAAGTCATATAAGTCTACACAGTGTTATAGAAATTTAGAGTTAGAGACTACATTTTAAAATCTAGAATTCACATAAATATTTATGTTATCCACAGAAATGTCTTGAAAACCCATACTTCATGTTCTTTTCCATAGGTAGGTAGAATAGAACAGTGACTACCCACTTTATAAGGGCACACATGTCTGTCTCTATCTCTTCAACCATCTCGCCCTGAATGGCTTTGGGTCTGAAGTAATTTAAATAACTTATTTAACTTAAATAATTTAAAATAATTTAAAGATATGAGGCAGGAGCCTTTATAGGAAGCAATAAGAATTGCTGAATGGTGAATTTTAGAATGCTTGCAGCTTTCCTTCCTTATATTAAATGTCACTGGGGATTGAAGGAAAGCAAATGAGCCTAAACTTCAGCTTGGTGTATTTAATGTCAGGCAGCGTTAGGAAGCTCAGATTGATAGCATGGCTTATCAATTTCATGATGTGTGAGCAGTCAGAGCAGAGAAACAGCAGACAATGGCCTTGGCTCATTGGTATTTCTTGGGACCTGTTTTATTTGTTTGTTTATTTTTGTATCCCTGTGAACGGAACCCAGAACCTCATGCATCATTCAGGCTTGACAAATGCTCTACCTAGCCAGTGTGTGGGCAATTTTAGATGGCATAAGGTGATGTTCCATCCGGAGAGTCTTTTTCTCTGGATTCACAACTCCTTTATATTCATTTACACAATTACTAACACATTGGCTATCCCTTCTGATAAAAATAAGACTCATATTTAATGTGAAAAATGCATTGCTGAAACTCAATTGAAGTGTAAGAAGGATGTGCTTACTTGTGGTATTGTCAGAACATCCCTTCTGAAAATAAGCAATCAAGATTTGCTAGTGTTTGAGTGTGAAATGTCTCCTTACAGACACATGTGTTTGAATACTTGGTTCCTAGATGGCAGCACTATTTGTAAAGGTGGTGGAGACTTGTGGGGTTGAGTGGGTCCTTGGGGGTATTCTGAAGATTTTATAGCTGAGTCCCATTTCCTGATCATGTTCTGCTTCTTGGTTGCACATAAAAGGCCATGGGCTACCCAGCCCTCCTGTCTCAGTGCCTCCACTGACACGAATTAGACATGTCCGTTAGAACAGTGAGCCAAAATAAATCCCCTTTCCTTTAAATTGTTCCTTGTCAGTATTTGATGTCGGCAAAGCGACCGGCCAGCATGTGCACACATACTCATGCATATTAAATAACCACTTTCCAGGATGGATGCTAGCATCATAATTGAACGTGAGTGGTAAACATTTTATTCACAGGCAGAAGAAAGGCACATGTGGCATAAATGGAACCCCAGATAAAGTAACTTGCATCCCTGTGGTAAGCAATGCTGAAAAGCCTTCAAGATATTGAGACTCTGGATTTATTTTGAGGTTTCATTATGCATTGTCATGTAGTCATTGTGTGTGTGTGTGTGTGTGTGTGTATGAGAGAGAGAGAGAGAGTGCACACACACACACTAAATAGCTTACTTACTGTAGTGTATTTATCTCATAGCTGCAGTATTTACTCTGGATCAGTTTTACTTGCAGAAAAATGTTATTCTAAACATACACATTTAGATATGTGTGCAGAATCTTTCCTTTTAGCCTGTATTAGTCCACAGTGACTCACCAAGTTCCTTCTACCAACATTTTCTTTTCCAGCTAAAAAAACAGTTATAGCCTGGTGCTGGTGGTACATGCCTTTAACCTCAGCACTTGGCAGAGGCAGGCAGATCACAATGAGTTGGAGGCCAACCTGATCTACAAAGTGAGTTCCGGAACAGCCAGGACTGTTGGACTGTTATAAAGAGGAACCCTATCTTGAAAATAAAGTAGTTCTACATGACTGTCTATAAATCCTGTTTATATTTTATGTATTTTATTTTATGAGCATGTGTTTATGCATGTATAGGTGTTCATATGTACAAAACTGTGTGTATATAAGGCAGGAGGTTGACTTCTGCCATCTTTTATTGTTATTCATCTGAGATAGCATCCTTTACCAAACCTAGATCTCACTGGTTTGCCTAGTCTAGCTGTCCATCAAGCCCCACAGATCTTCCCATTTCCCTTGTTGCTAGAGTCATTTGAAATTTTATAAGTTGTCATCCACATTTAGCCAGAAGATTACATACAAAGCATAGCACTGTAAACATGCCTTTTCTGAGTTCATTTGGAATTTAATAATAAAAAATGAAAACATTGATTCCTAAAGAGTTATTAGCTTAAAAGCATAGTTTCTCTCTCATTTTCTTTTCTTCTTTCTTTCTTCCTCTTAACTTTTTTTCTTCATAGGCTCAGCTACAGAATTTGGCTGACAATTATGCCTTGCATGTCATTTGTGAATGTTTTCAAATAAAAAATGTGCAGAGTTGCATTTATTTTTTGGCTTCAGACGAAGGATGAAAGCTGTTCCTATGCTTATTCCAAGCCAGCTCTGTAAAGAATGGTAATGCTACTTAAATTTAAACAAGTCGAGGGTCTCAAACAAGGCTGTGTTATGTTATTCCATCTGTCCTTTCTTTGCATTAAGGATTATTTCCAATGTTTTGTAATTCTCATAGTGCGAACATCCAAAATATCAGTAACATAACAGGGCCCCGAAAGGATCTCCGAAGGGAAGACAACACAGAGAGTAAAGAATAACCCTGAAAACCACTTTTATCTCAGCAATTGATTCTCTATTACATTTCCTTATTTAGTGTGTGTGTGTGTGTGTGTGT